CAGTGTTCACCCATCTCCCTTTGGAGCCTGGACCACAGGCTCCAGTTGACTTTCTGAGTCCATGTCAGAGATAAAATGTGCTCTTAGAGACTTCAGAACTCTCTGTTGTTAAAGTCTTCTCCTTCTGACCTCTGGAAATGTCACGTCCTTCTCTCAACTGCAATTAAGGGAAAGAGTCAAGTGCCCTTTGGTGCCTAAAGGAGAAAAATGGTCAGCAGTCACAGGAATCTGATCATAGAGACAAGGGGTCAAAATGCAGCATAAAGCAGTGAGATTGTTGTCATGAAATAGCAGAAGAGGATTCTTAGAAATATGCAGTGATAGGCTGCAGTCCCTGGAGTCCTCTGATGAAGTAGAGCAGACCTCTGTGTTGCTCTTGGATAGCACAAGTCAATGAAGAAATTATGTACCTGTCATTAAATCATGAGTGCTACTAACTAACTGACATAGCTGGATAGTGATCGTCTGCAAGGTGGGAACTCGAGGACTCAGTAGGTAGTAAAGATTCCAGACATCACTGGTTTAATTGCATAGCACACCCAGTCTAGCCTCAGACCCGCTCTCCACACACATGACAGTCACATCCCTGGGGTGGTAGGAGAAGGCCTGACCCTCATTCTGAGGTCAGTTCTGTGGCCAAGGTCTATTCTTTCTGTTGCCTAAGGTCCTCCTGAGTTTGTGAACAAATTGCTCTCCAGCGTGCCTTGTCTACTGAGACAAGAGAGCCTGCCTGACAGCCCGTGGTAACTAAGCCCTTCTGCTGATAACCAGTCTGCTCTGTGTGGGGACAGGAAGATGTCCTTGTGTCCAAGTGGAGATGTGAGTGGTGCTGGGGAGTATTGGGGAGAGCTGACCGCTGTTCCTGACTCTGCGTCACTTTGCAGGGGGACCAGACCGCCTTGCACCGGGCCACAGTGGTGGGGAACACTGAGATCATCGCGGTGCTCATCCAGGAGGGGTGTGCCCTGGACAGACAAGACAAGGTGAAGTGGGATGTGGCAGCTTGCCCGCTGCCCAAGGCAGGGATGCAGGCAGCTGGGGGAGCTGGAAGACCCTGCTCTGGAAACTTTGAATACTGAAAATGTTAACATGCCTAAGTCTTACCACTCATGACTTAACATGATGAAATCAGCCCAAATTTCCTGTGAAAGAGTATCTGGTATCCCAGCCAATTTTTAAAAATCCTTTCCCTTGGGCCGGTTCGCTCACTGGCTGAGCGTGGTGCTGACAACACCAAGTCAAGAGTTAAGATCCCCTTACCGGTCATCTTTAAAAAAAAAAAAAAAAAAAA